AATCTTGTTACGTGGAGGAGCAAGAAACAAAAGGTGGTGTCTCGATCTAGTGCTGAGGCCGAGTATCGGGGAATGGCTCATGGTGTATCTGAGTTACTATGGTTGAGGAGATTATTGAGAGACCTTGGTTTTAGGCCTAAGAAACCCATGGATTTATATTGTAACAATACGGCTGCGATTGCAATTGCTCATAACCCGGTACAACATGATCGTACAAAGCATGTGGAGGTTGATCGAATTTTCATTAAAGAAAAGTTGGATGCGGAGATTGTTTCATTTCCGTTCATCCGCTCAGAGTATCAGTTAGCCGATGTTCTTACGAAAGCTGTTTCTACAAGTATCTTTCGCAACTCGCTTGACAAATTGGACATGCGTGACGTCTTTGCTCCAACTTGAGGGGGAGTGTTGGCGAGTATATCCTATTCTATTTGGGTTTTATTTATTTTTCCTTTTGTATAGATATTATGTAATTAGGATTCCACTTATTTCCTAATTAAACCATACTAGGGTTTGTAATCTTGTATTATAAATACCTCCTTTCGGAGAATGAAATATATCTGAAAATATTCTACCATATTGTTTGACTCAAGGTATGGCGAGAAACCAATTGGACAGAAATGTGGAACCGGGCCATGAAAAATGGTAATGTTTGTTCACATTTTGAAGATTTTGGTCGACTAATGCAACAAAATGTAAATGGCACAGAACAATTGGCATGGTCTGTAGGAAGGAGTAAGGATATACATCATTAGTTGTTTTGCAACCTCTTTTTGTCCTTAATATTGCTGTTCTTGGCAACGAGTGATGAAGCAGAACTTGATGGTCCTCATCCCACTTCAGGTGTGAGCACTAAAAGAGCAGTAGCAAAAGCAAACGACCAATCAACAAGTACATGTAAGAAGTTGGGCACTGGTCGAACTAAGTGTTAGGAACCAACAACGCAAAGTTTGCACCTGAAAATCTTTATGCTCCTCTGCTATCAGCCAAATGTAAGTGATGCAATAAATCTGGTCATGGTTCTAATATGTTAAGAGACAAAATTGATTCAGATAGAAGAGGATCTGAACATGCAGGAGGATGAGGTAAGGTAGCCTAGGAGGGTGATTAATAATTTGACAAGAAAACAGTCACAAATAAAAACAATCACCACACTTTGCAGAAGGCTACTTTACAACAAAACAGTCACCCTAATATCTTTAGGTTGTGACTTATGAACCAAGAAATTTAAACAGCAATCAGTCAAATGTTTCGTGCAATTATGTAAAGGGTTATAAGCTTAATGCAAAAGCCTGTAGGTGTTGCTGAGTGTGGCTCTTGCTACTCGTCCAATTGTGTGATAAGCATTGGATTGAGGCTTCTGTATAGCCTTGACTTGAAAAGTCTCTCGAAGTATGAAATCTTCAGTCCCTTTTGCCTTGCCATGTCTGCTCGAACCCAACGTGAATTATCTCCTGGTTGACCAGTGACTATAACAGTAGTACTTTTTTCTGCAAAATTAGTTAAGGCCACTGCTGTTTCCGGCTCAATGGCAGATGAAGCATCCACCAGAAAAATATGACTAAAATGTCCAGAAGTTAGACCTTTATCATGTAGCCGAAAGCTACTCATGAGAGTCGAGAAAATCACCCTGAATTTTTTGAGCTTCTCAGTTGGAGGACAAGAGAAATAAGGGTCTTCGTAATGGCATGATGGGAGGATGTCATCAGGCACCTCATCTTTCTCACGGAATGCAGCGTTGGCTCGAAACATATCTGACTCTGGAATCACTTTCAACAAGCCTCTCATAATCCCATCACAACAGCGGTTACTAGGAGCACATATCAGAATCCTATTTTTGAGTGAGGTTTGACATAACTGGTGCACTGCTTCACAAACAACCGCTCCAGTTCTCGACGGCCTAAAAACGTTCCTTTCAACACAAAGCTGGCCAGCCACCAAGTAAGGTGGTGAGCCTTGAATGCTTAAAATATGACGAACAGCAGATAATTGGGTGGCGTCAAGTTTGTGACGGCCAGACGGCAGCGCTGGTGCAGTGGGAATGCTCGTACGGGATACACAATCGGGAAAGAGGAAGTTCTTAAACAAAGTATCCGATGCTGTTTGAACTGCTTGGTGAGCTCTTTTCAAACATACTCTATTGAATGAGAAGCTGACATCATATTTTTGGGTCGAATAATGATAATCATAAAATTCATCTTCAAATTCCACTAATACAAGATTGCTCCTAATAATGCGATGTATAATTCCCTGCATAACATGTAATAAGATAATTATAATGCAGATAGTTTTAAGAAATTGCTCAGCAAATGTTAATGAATGTTCTGAGTTTACCTGAAACTGCTCAGCATTTGTACCTGATGGCCGTACATAGACTAAGTCCCTTGACAAAAGGAATGGCCGATTTTCAGGAACAGAATCAATCATAAATTCTACGAAGGTTTTCTCTTCCTTGTCTAGATTTTTGTAAACTGCTGCTTTTTGCAACTTCAGTGTCACATTCTTCATATTGAAATGAGCCCATTTCTGGTTCAAATAACAGCAAAGGTTTTTTATTTCTTTCAAAGTAAGCATGAAAAATCATACAAAATTTAGAAAAGAAGAATGTTGTACCGCGGCATTCTACATTCCATCATTCATACCACAGCTCTTAAGATATTCTTTTTGTCTTTTTGGCATCAATATTTAGTTGCAAAGACATGTACATGAAACTCATATCATTTAAAAACAATAGCCAGTCACCAATTCAAATCTTTGTACAGAGAAAAATGATTACTAATATGAAATAAGCTATGTTTTGCTAATCCTTCAAAACTTAGAGAAATGCTTTACACACATATTTATATAAATGGTTTGATATCTGTCATAAATTTCTTCACTATCTTGTTAAGAAGAAAAGGCATTACAAATTACAAAAGGGCAAGATTCTTGCATACCTCATGGTAGAACTCTTCAGCGTATAACAGAGCAGCAAAGTAATCCTTATATGTCGTGGGAGACAGAGGCTGTTTAAGAACTTTTGGCACAATGTCATTCTTGATCAAATCTTTGAAATCCTCAGGAATCGTGAATATAGGTAATGAACCCTTTTCAACCGATACATAACTTTTCTTCCCCTTTTCATTTATTACATCTGAGGAGGCTGGGGATAGAACTTGCTTAAAGATTGGAGGGAGCGTAGCGGAAGACACAGGCAGTCCTGAGGATGGAGATGGTTTTGAAGATGTTGGAGGATTTGGTGATGATGAATGTGATTTTGATGAAGCCTGAGGTGGTTTAGAGGAGGATGTAGAGAGTTTAGGAGGAGATGGTCTAGATGAAGGTGTTTGGAGTTGAAGGGATGGTGAAGATGGACTAACAAGAGTGGATTGGGGCAGCTTAGATGAAGACGTTGGGGGTTTAGGCAATGCTGAACGCTGATCAACAGAAGAAGATTGTTGTAATTTAGATACAGATGTTGGGAATTCAAGAATAAATGGAGATGCATTGGAAGAAGATGGATTAACAAAAGCTGATTGAGGCAGCTTAGATGAAGATGTTGGGGGCTTAGGGAATGTTGAAGAAGAAGAAGAAGATGTTGGGAATTTAGGAGATGGAGAAGATGTACTGATATAAGAAGATTGCAGCGGTTTCGATGAAGATGTCGGAGGCTTAGGGGATGATGAAGATGAACTAAAGGGAGATTTGACTGGTAGAGATGGAGGTGATGGGGCTTTATAGTTATAGAAGGCTGGAGATTGATTAGTAGAAGTCAAGGGTGGCGAGCGGTTTCTATCAGAAATTTTAGAATCATAAGTTTGTCTGGGAATTTGATTATAATCATGATTCTCACGCTCATCTTCAATACAAAACAGGCATTTCAAAATTTCAAGAAAAATTGACATGGTGTCCCTCTTTCTGTGATCAAAACACACAAGTCAAAGAACCAAAGACAAAGATCATCTGAGTTAAAATGTTACATACAAATGAATCGAAAAGAGGAAGCAGAAGCTGAAGAAATGAAAAGCCAACATGAAAAAGGAAACACACAAAAAGAAAAAGAATAAAAATAAAGCACTCACCAGAGTCCCCTGCCTTGATGAGTGAGTGGTGTTGACGAACCAACGACTGCAGGTCTTTGCTATTAAGGAAGGAACATAGTACATGCACAGTCACACAGAGTCACAAAGGTTGAAGCTACTTTAGTCCTTTCGTTTTTCCTTTTCGGTTTTTTTTTGGGCCAAACAATTATTTGACATTGGTGAGATTCAAACTTTCCATTGAAAATTATAAACGATAGTTCCTCTACCAACTCTTGGTCTATCTTATATGTGTCAGCTGATCATGGTGATCAGTCTCTCTCATGTGGTAGACTAATCTTGTATTTTGTAGCTTGTGATTAGGGCTCTTTGTAAACAACTCTTTCATCTCATCCATTATTCTATATGACACAATTACTACTACACTAGCTTCTACTTTTTTCTTCTAGCTAAATAGTGAAGTCTAGCGGAAAGTCTTGAGTGAGACCGTCATCACCCGTCCAAGTCCTCCCAAAAGACGGGTGACGCGGTTCAACCACCTCACCCAAGACCTTGTCCAATTTAGGGCACCAAATTACACAACCGGTCCCACTCCTACCTTGTCTCTGGCCACATCAGCAAAAGGGACCCGCCCAGCTAAAGTGTTTTTCTCTATTAGTGGAGAGTGAATCCCCCCCATCGAGTAAAGACTTAAACATTAACTCTTGAAGAAACAATTTAACATTAAAACAAAAGTCCCGCAGGGACATGATGAACCATGACACGCCAAATCATTACCCTAGAAATGGGTTTACATTTTATTAAGGATTTTTTTTTAAAGAAAAAAGTTTGGTAAATGTCTCAAATTCTCATTTTAGTACAATTGTCCCAATAGTTTCTAACAAAATTTGATTTTGCACATATTTGACACAATAAATTAATTTATGAGCTAAATGGTGACAGGGGAAAAAACCACAATATTAAACACTGTTTTACCATCAAAACAACAGAAATCAGATTCTCATGAAGAAAAAAAAGAGTATATTCTGAGCGATCGAACAATCGATCATACCCTAAACCCAGAGGCTGCTATTCAAAATCTGCAGCCTGCAATGCAATGGGCCAATGGCTAATCGTTATGGGATTCACTTTGAAGCTTTTCTTTTTCACCAGCCAAGGTCTCATGAAGAATGAGAAGCTTAGGTGGTGTAGGACTTACTCTTACTTCAAGGCTTAGAGGCTTTGTTCTTTCAACAACCAAACCCAGAGCCTTCCATGCAATCTCCAAAGACCAACTCCAACTCTACGCTTCCAAATCCTGCTCTTCATGCTCTAATCTCTCGGTGGGTAAAGACCCAACTTCCATTGTCGCTGCTCTTTCCCTCTCTGAGACTTCAAAGTCATGTTTCCTTGGTACCCAAATCCATTCCCATATCATCAAGTTGGGATTTACTGATGACATTTTTTTGTTGAATAATTTGATCAAAATGTACTCAAAATGTGGGCTTGTGGGTGATGGATTTAGGGTGTTTGATAAAATGCTTGACAGAAACCTTGTCACTTGGACTTTGATGATCTCGGCTGCCGTCCAAGATGGTCAATTTGAATGGGGCTTGGAGATTTATTTGGGATTAATAAGAAGTGGGTTGAGGCCGAATGAATTCACTGTTGGCAGTGTTCTCAAGGGGTGTGCAGAGTGTGCTAGTACCAAAGCATATGAATTTGGCATGAGTGTTCATTGTTTTGCTTTGAAAGTTGGGATTGAACAGAGCTTCTATGTGGGCGGTTCTGTTTTGAACATGTATGCTAAGTTGGAGGATATTGAATCGGCTAAAGGGGTGTTTGAGTCTATGTCCAATCTTGATACTGCTGGTTGGAATACTATGATTGGAGGGTATGCGCAATGCGGCTATGGCCTCGAAGCCTTGAAGGTTCTATCTTTGATGGTATGGAGAGGGATAAGCATGGACCAGTTCACCTTTGTTAATGCTCTTAAGGGGTGCTCTGTTATGGGAAATTTGGATTTTGGGAAGCAACTTCATGGATTGATCATCCAGAGTGAGATGGAATTTAGTACTTCGGTAGTGAATGCTCTTTCTGATATGTACTCTAGAAATGGTAAGAAGGATGCGGCTTTGAAAGTTTTCAATAGGATACAAGCAAAAGATGTTATATCGTGGAACACCGCGTTCGGTGTCTTCTCTGAAGACAATAATACAAGAGAAATTGGAAAGTTAGTCCATGAGTTCATGCTAGCAAACATGAAACCTAACCATGTCACTTTCTCAATCTTGTTTAGACAATGTGGGGAGCTACTTGATCTGAACCTTGGGCTTCAGTTTTACTCTCTTGCATTACAATTTGGATTCTGGAATGAAGCTAATGTTAGAAGCTCAATAATCAATATGTTTTCTAGATGTGGGGCTATGGACATGGCACGCTTGTTTTTTGACAGCCTACTTGACAAAAACTTAACTTCTTGGAACGAGTTGATTTCTGGGTATAATTCAAATCATTGTTATACAGAAGCCAGGAAGATTTTTTGTGATTTATGGGACTTGGGTGTTGAAGCGAGTGAAGTTACCTTCTCCAGCATATTGGAAACTTGCTATAAAGATGAACACCAAGAAATGTTTAGACAAATTCATGGTGCTATTGTCAAGTCTGGCTTCTCTTTCCATGGATATGTTTGTAGCTTCTTAATTAAGTGCTATGTTAAAGTTGGACTACTGGATGATTCCTTTGAGTTTTTCAATGGGTTTGAGACATTAGATGTGGAATCTTGGGGGACTATGATATCTGCTCTAGTGCATCAGGGACATCTCTTCGAAGCTATCAAATTTCTCAAGTCTCTGAGAGAAGCTGGTGGGAAACCTGATGAGTTTATTTTGGGCAGCATTCTAAATAGTTGTGCTGATAATGCAGGCTATCATTTAACTAAATCTGTTCATTCTGTTGTCATCAAAATGGGATTTCACTCACAAGTATTTGTTGTGAGTGCAGTTATAGATGCTTATGCAAAATGTGGGGACATTGGAAGTGCACGGATGACCTTTAGCCAGTCATTTAGATCTGGTGATGTAGTTATATATAATGCCATGATCATGGCTTGTGCTCATCATGGTCTGGACAAGGAAGCTATGGGTTTCTTTGAGAAAATGAAGTTGGCTCGTATAAAGCCCAGCCAGGCCACATATGTGTCAGTTATAGCAGCTTGTGCTCATGTGGGTCAAGTTGATCTAGGTCGTTTGTTGTTTGAATCAATTAACTCAGATTCTAAGATGGAACCAATATCTGAGGATATTTATGGTTGCATGGTTGATATGCTTTCGCGAAGTGGATACCTCAAAGATGCTAGACAAATGATTGAAGGAATGCCTTATTCTCCTTGGCCTGCTATACTGAGGTCCTTGCTTAGTGGTTGTCGGATACATGGGAACATAGAGTTGGGAGAATGGACTGCTAAGAAGTTGGTTCAGTTGGTTCCAGAAAATGATGTACCTTATGTACTACTGTCAAAGGTTTACTCTGAAGGGGGTAGTTGGGAAGATGCTACAAAGATAAGGAGGGAAATGATAGAAAGAGGTGTACTGAAAAATACAGGATGTAGTTGGATCGAGGTATAGCAAAAACTTAATTTGACAGAAAAATGGAACTGTGTCATGAGAAATGGTAAGTCAGTTCAGCTTTTGAAGATTTTCGTCAACTAATGCAGCACAATGTAAATGGCAATACTACAATTAGCATTACAACCTCGTCTCTCTATGCCCTTAATGTTGCAGTTTAATTTGCCACAAGAGTTGATGGTCCGAATACCAGACAACAAGTCTCTGGCAAGGGTCCTTATCCCACTTCAGGTCTAGGCAATAAAAGAGTAGTAGCAAAAGGAAAAGACCAACCACAAAATACATGTAAGAAGTCGGTGACTGGTCGAACTAAGTTAACAGGGGGTACCAACAACGCAAGGTGTGCAACTGCAAATCCTTATGCTCCACTGCTATCAGCCAAATGTTACTGATGCAATCAATCAGGCCACGGTTCTAATCAGTTTCCACCACATGAAGTAAACTTGGCGAATCATGAAACTGATGTGTAAAGGATTTACTAATAGTTCCTCAAGATGGCAATGAATTATGAAGACGAAGATGTTTTGCTAGTTGTGAGAGACTGATGTACATGGCAAACCAAGAACTAAATACATTGTATGCTTGATATTGGCATGTATGCTTGGTATTAGCTTGTATGCTTGATATTGGCATGTATGCTTGGTATTGGCTTGTACGCTTGATAAAGAAAATTTCTTTTTCTTTTGCACGGCGTGATTTTGCTTGAGTTGATATTTTGTGTGGATTGATTGTTGTATTAATAATTGGCACAAATTAATGAGCTAATCATCCAATTATAAATACCCGCAAGTGTACGAATCTATTGAGATATAGATTTGTAAGTACGAGATCGATCCCACGAGGAACTGTAGGCTTATACAAAGTTCTAATTTGAGTACATAAAGAATACTTATTTAACACAACACAAATGTAAAATACAAATTGGAAACTAGGAATAAGTAAAGAAAAGTAAAAGAAAAGAAACAAAACAAGAAATCAAAGATAAACACAAACATGAATTTCTATAACTCCTTTCCAGTTTTGACATCTGTCCCGTTTTTTACTTGTAACTTTCCAACCAGTTATCCAAATTTTACGTTCTTTATATGGTTGAATTCAGCACAAAAAAATGAAGAACTCTACGTGGACCAAATGTCAAACAGAAGTAAGCAGAATTCAGTGGAAAGAACACTCAAAATTTCAAACACACACACACACACACACAAAATGGGGGGAGGGGGGTTTGATTCAATTGACCTAATTATAATGCTTAAATGTAACCGAACTCTAATTTAACAAGACCGAAAAAAATGAATATCAAAATGTGGCTTACAATGATGAGAAACACTAGGGTTTCGTAATCCACCCTAAACAATCCTGTTCAAACACACACACACACACACACACACACACACAGGGCGGTTTTGATTCAAGTGATCTAATTCTCTAATGCTTGAATGTAACCAAATGCTAATTTAACAAGCCTAAGAAGAGTGATTATCAAAATGTGACTTAAGATGTGACAAACACTAAGGTTTTCGGAATCCACCCTAAACAATCCAACTAATGTTCATAGACACTCAAGTAATGATCTCTAAATGTGTTGATAAAGATGTTCGCAATCAAGACCGAGTCTAGTGACTCAAGATGCATTGATTCTCTCTAGTATAAGTAAAGTGCGGGTTTAATGCTACAATACTCGTGCTTTCCATATAATCAATATAAGTGTTCTTAGTACTTCAATTTAACCATATGAAAAACCCATTAAGTTTGAAGAGAATATGAACATCACAAGAACCATAATAGTATGATGTTTACATTAGACATTCAAGAAACCAATTCACATGGATGATTCTTACTTCATCTATTTGTTGCTTATGAAAACATGAAGATGCATATAATCCCAAAAATCTCAAGAAGCATGCTTTCAAAGGTGATCAATCAAAGAAAAACATACATCAAAGATAGATTATTTTAGTGAATGGGAATTCATCAATAACATCTAGAAATTCATAAACTCAAGCATCAAAACAATAGAGTAATCATGTTTAGGGCTTCAACCTAAGCCCTATCTATGGATTTTAGCTCCTCATGTTCATGGTAAACATAACTTCAAATAAAACTAGAAAGAAGTTACAGATTTTGTGAAGGTGATGGAAGCACAAGGTCTTCAATGGTGGAGCGACTTCTTCTCCTCTTTGGTAGCCTCTTTCATGCTTGGCTGCACCTTTGCTCTCCTCCCTCTCTCCAATCTCAGAAATTGCAAGTGTAGAGAAAATGACTCCAATCATTCAATGAATGAGCTGATGCTCCTTCCCTTTGCTCCTTCTCTCTCTTCCTTTCCATCTCACACAACATTATTAAACTCATTCTTTCCTTCATGTCATGATGAGATTTGGTTTTAAAATTCATTAAAAGGCTTCCTTTTGTCTTAGCAAATCCCACTTCATCATTCTTAGCAAATCCCACTTCATCAAGGTAGGTTATTGTTACCAAAAGATATGGTAATAAGTAGAATAAGATGACATCAAGTGGACGTAAAACTGGCACAAAACAAATTTCTCTAGGGTCAAATATTGGATCGGTTGGATAGGCTATACTTGTTTAATGGAGCTCAAATTCGGATATGTTGTAATAACATCCATTGGCACAAGTTTCATGAAGAGCTTTACTGCATCTGAGCACCGGAAGATGATCATCAATGGTTAAGAAGTTGACCTACAAAAATGAGCAAAAACAAAAATTATATCAAATAATGCATTTTTAGCTCACTTTCATTCTAACCAAGGTAAAATCTATAAAAACACAAAAAGAAGTAAAAAGCTTAAAAAATGTCAAGAATTAACTCAAAATATTGGGTGAATGACATGATAAATCATGTATAAAAATGAACCCAACATAAACCCTGGGTACTGTTCATCAGTACATAAGTCATATTTTGGAAGCTCGGATCAGAAAACTTCCTTGATGAAAGTTGTTCACCTACTCGAGTAATATAGCCTTTAAAAATTTGAGAATTTTTTGAATTTTTTGGATACCTCAAACTTGATCTGCAACTTCTGTGTTCATCCATGGCTGATGAGTTTCTGCAGATTCAGTTTCTGCACTTGTTTTTAATATCTACTACTCGGATTATTGTACTTGCTTCACGAAATCTGCTTGAAATTGTGAATTTGAGGATCATCCAACCACTGTAGTGTTCTCTACCTTCATTTTTCTAAAGTGTGTTCATGGATTGATGTTGAGGCCTTTGCTGCATGCTTGAATTACTTTGTACTCTCAACAATTGTGGCTTATGAACTGAATTTTGAGGTTGAGCTTCTAATTTAGGGTTTTAGCTTGGTAATAAACAAAGCTCATACAAACTCACTTGGGTAATGCATGCCAAGTGTTTGTCAAAATAGATTGTGGGCTGTTCTTTTTACTTTCGAAATATTTATCTTTGATTATGAGTTGGAGCTTTTGACACATGAAACTAAACTTCCCGATGGTTGTGTTGGAAATGGTTTTGTATCATTTGAAGCAAAAATAAATTTTTGGTGCAAATTCAAAGTAAGGGCTAAGCTGCTGGAATTGTGCACTTTCTGCTGCATGGCATGTTTCGGGAATCTGTTTGACATACTTCCCTAACTCTAAATGCGATGCAATTTTGGGAAAATGAAGCTTGATATGTCTAGTTCTAATCTGGAAAGTTTGGGTTTTGTTGGTTGTAAACTTGATTTTTAGTGATTTTTCAAAGGTGGGATGTTCCAGCTAAAATGGTTGGAAAGCTTGTGTTTGTTTTTGCTTGGCATGTTGCTTTGACTATTGAGAATTGAGCATTTCATTTCTCTTGGCATTGAGTGCCTGATCTTGGTATTGCTATGGGTATTGCTAGAGCATGATCTTGAGCAATATCGTTGTGATAGCGTGATTTTGAGTGATATTGTCGCGAGAGCATGAGTTTTCCAATACGGCTCAATTTGCTTGAAATGCCTGAATTGCTTGGATTGCTTGAATAAAGTGTAATTTCTTAGCATGAAGTTTGGGTTAGTGGATCATCTTTGAATTCCTTACCAAAGCCTAGAAGTATATTTGATTGCCCCAAGCTATGAAGTTGGGCAAGCTGAAGCTTTCTAACCATTCTAGCTAGAACATCCCACCTTTAGAAAATCACTAGAAATTAGGTTTACAACCAAAAAATCTCAAACTTTCCAAGTTATAATTAGACATATCAAGCTTCATTTTTCCAAATTTCGTTGCATTTAGAGCTAGGGAAGCAAGCCAAACATATTCCCGAAACAAGTCATGCAGCAAAAACTGGACAATTCCAGCAGCTTAAACCCTTACTTTGAAATTACACCAAAAATTCATTTTTGCTTCAAATGGCACAAGACTAGTTCCAACGTACCCATCGAGAAGTCTACTTTTATGTGTCGAAAGCTCTAGTTCATATTCAAAGGAAATATTTCGAAAGTTCAGAGAACATCCCACAAGATACTTTGAGATATTCTCACAAACACTTAGAATGCATTACTTAAGTAAGCTTGTGTGAGCTTTGTCTATCACCAAGTTAAAACCCTAAATCAGAAGTTCAACCTCAGGATTCAATGTCTAGCTCACAAATTTTGGGAAATACAGAGTTACTCAAGCATTCAAGCATAGAAAACAAGCATGCAACAAAGGAATCAACATCAATTGATGAACATGCTTCAGAAAAATAAAGGCAGAGAATACTACAATGGTTGGATGATCCTAAATTATAGATATGTTATAAACAACACAATTTCGAGCAACTTTCATGAAGTAAGAATAATCATCCAAGCATCAGAAATTAAAAACAAGTGTAGACACCGAACCTGGAGAAACTCACCAGCCATGAATGAACACAGAAGTTTCAGACCAAGTTTTGAGGCAACAGAAAAATTCAAAAAATTCTCAAAATTTTATAGGCTTTAGTTCTCGAGCAGATGAATAACTTTCATGAAAGAAGTTTTCTTATCTGAGCTTCCAAAATATGACTTCTGGATTGATTAACAGTCCACGGGTTTGGGTCTTGAAGAAGAAGAAGAAAGAGGAGAGAGAAGAACAAAGAAGAAAGTGAGAAAGAGAAGTGAATGAGAGAAATGCAGCCAGCCCACACACGCAGAAAGACAAAACGGTGGGGAGCAACCCACTTGAAAGCATCCGATGCAAATTAAAAAAAAAATTAACAAAAAAAAAAGAGGAAACAGAATTTTGCCTATGTGCCAAACAAGCCCCAGAATTAATACAACAAGATATCTGCAAAGCAAACTCAGTGGCGCTATTGTGAATTCAAGCAAAGTAAGTGGGGGCTATTGTGAATTCAAGCAAACTCAGTAGCATAATCATAAATTCAGATAAGATGGGGAAAGCAATTATTTGCGATATGAGGCAATTTCTGCAAAACACCAAAAATGGAATTTGGGAAAATCAACAATCAACAACAATGATGTAGAAGTAGGGATCCGACCAAATCCGATACAATTAATAGGAGATGGATCTAGTGATAGGATCCAATTATCTGATTATGTGCAAAATCCGTTAATCCGATAAGTTAACGGGACGGATTTGGATCTAGCTTAATCTAATCCGATAATAATCCAATCCGATTTTATATAATTAAATTAAATTATTGTTTATTAGAAATGTTGCCAACAACATAAAACTAAGGGCAGTTCTAGCAACAAGGGCTGGGGGGGAGCTGCTGGGGCCCACGAAACCAGGCCAGCCCTCAGGCAAGATGAGCCCTAGTTTAAGCACGGGTTTGCTGACGTCAGCAACAACAACAAAAATTAATCGAAAAAATTCTTTAAAAAATAAAAAAAAATTCAAATTTTTTATAAAATAAATACTTAGTCATAGTTTCACTTCCCATACCAAAAATCTATACAAATTTCTCTCCTCATATCTCATGTGAATAGTTGTTGCCATGACAATTGGTGGAAACACCACAACCTTTTGCAAGGGCAGCCACTATTCACATGAATAATAGCTGCCCTAGCCCCCCTTGTCATGGCAAAGGGTTCACTGCTGGAAGTGCTCTAAGGGAGCTCTATTCTCTTCCACGGGAATCCAGCCACTTTTTACTCTCTCTCTCTTCCCCTTTTTGTTTTTTATTTTCATTGGGCTTGTTGCTTCTCTCTCTCTTTTCTATTATTTCCCTTCTCTTTTTCCTTGGTCTTGTTGCTTCCTTTCACACGTGAATCACTCTCTCTTTTCCCTCTCTCTTCTTAGGATTCTTCTTAACCCTAACAACACTAACACACTTCATTTCGATCCTTTACTCCTGCAAATCCTTATGCTCCTCTGCTATCAGCCAAATGTCACTGATGCAATCAATCAGGCCACGGTTCTAATCAGTTTCCACAACATGAAGTAAACTTGGCGATTCATGTAACTGATGTGAAAAGGATTTACTAATGGTTCCTCAAGATGGCGATGAATTATGAAGATGAAGATGTTTTGCTAGTTGTGAGAGATTGATGTACACCACAAACCAAGAACTAAATACATTCAAGAGAAGATATACTGTCAGTCAAGAGTTTGCAATGTAATCATAGACAGTGGTGGCAAACTGAATCTAAGAATTGCAATTTGAAATTAGATAATGCATGGCGTTATGGCTGTTAATCTAAGAAAATTGCAGAGTAAAGAAGATGGCTTTAGTACTGCGGCGGGTAGACTGGAAGAGAAGGAGAAATGGTGCGGCTCATGGAGGTATTCTCTTTCTTTTCTTTTTTTTTTCCAAACTGACTGGGTTAAAGAAATACTAAATAGATATGTGATGAGTAGAGCAGAATTGTGTGTTCTAATTGCATATATAATCTGTGCCAATGACATTAAGTTTAAACTCAATTTCAAAATGTAATAACTTGTGACAGCAAATACAACGCTTTACTGCATTGGATCCAGTGGCGAACTCACAAGACATCAAAACATCAAAAATCATAATGTCTATATTGTCTATTCATTACTATATATATAAGACAATAGCCGCTCTTGGCCTCAGGGGAAGTTTAATTAAGACACCCAAACTAAAATAAGTAAATTTTTTTTTTGCACAGAAGAATTTAAATTAAAAAGGATAATATATTAATTAAATTAAAGAAGTTGGCAAAAAAACAAAAGTAAAGAAACTAATTTTATGAAATTTCGTCGGCATACGTCTATACCGGCAAATATTTGTTGGATTAGGTTTCTCCCGACGAATGAATCTTTGCCGACGAAATTTCATTGGGAGAGGCCTTTAAAAAAAATTATATATATATATAAACTTAGGATGTTTAGGTTAATTAATTTTTTAAAATTTTACTTTTAGTAATTAAAAAATATATTTGACTGATTTAATTAGTTAAATTAGTAATTATATTTTAATTATTATTTATTTAGTGAATAATTAGTATTAAATATTTTAATTAACTTCATGAATTATGTTACTTAATAAATAGTAATTCAATTTTTCTTTTTCTTTTTTCCCTTTAATATTCACTAAGTAAATAACAACTAAAACATTATTACTAATCAAAGTAATTAAAAAAGAGAAATACATATTATGCTACTTAAAGGGTTTGTAAAATCGTATAGCCGTGCGGCTATACGTTTTAAAAAAAATTAAAAAACTGCGTATAGCCGTGCGGCTATACTATTTTTTTTTATATAAAAAAAGAGGACCCCAGTCATTAGGCGCCACCTGTCAAGAAAATTCTACTTTTCAAAAAAAATAAAAACACAGAGTATAGCCGCGCGGCGGTAATATTTTTTATAAAAAAAGAGGACCCTCCAGCAATTAGACGCCATGTGTCACTATACTATTTTTGAAAAAAAAATCGTAGTATAGCCGTACGGCTATACTGTTCTAAAAGGTCTATATATATATATATATATATAAGAGGACCCTCTAAGTTTCATTAGTTTATAATTTATAGATATTAATTTGCTAGTTTCAACATATCCAAAGTAGATATTAATAAGTCACTATATAATATTTTAGTATAATTTTTATAACATATATTATTCGTATTCAACAATATGTGAGAATTATTTGTATAATACGTGAACTTTGTGTGAATTACTGAAAATTTTGTAAAAAATATGTGTATTAAGCATTAAAAATACGTATGTACATGTATAATACTACTATTGTACGTTTGCTTTTTAAAAAAGAATAGACGTGTATAGAATACAAATGTATTATTGAAAAATACGTACGTACATATATATATTCTTGAGCTCTGGGGAAGTTTAATTAAGACACCCAAATGAAAATAAGTAATTTTTTTGTTTTGTTTTTGCACAAAAGAATTTAAATTAAAAAGGATAAGATATTAATTAAATTAAAGAAGTTGGCGAAAAAACAAAAGTAAAGAAACTAATTTTATATTTTTTAAAACAATTGAATAAAAATAACATAAACAATTCTCTCGACGAAATTTCGTCAGCATAGGTCTATGCCAGCAAATATTTGCCGGATTAGGTTTCTCCCGACAAAAGAACCTTTTTAGACGAAATTTCATCGGGAGAGGTCTTTTAATATATATATATATAAACTTAGGATGTTTAGGTTAATTAATTTTTTTAAATTTTACTTGTAGTAATTAAATAATATATTTGACTGATTTAATTAGTTAAATTAGTAATTATGTTTTAGTTATTATTTAATGAAAAAAGAAAAATACATATTATGCTACTTAAAGGCTTTGTAAAATAGTATAGCCGTGGATTTGACTGATTTAATTAGTTAAATTAGTAATTATATTTTAATTATTATTTATTTGTTGAATAATTAGTATTAAATATTTTAATTAACTTCATGAATTATATTACTTAATAAATAGTAATTCAATTTTTCTTTTTCTTTTTTTCCTTTAATATTCACTAAGTAAATAATAACTAAAACATAATTACTAATCAAAGTAATTAAAAAAGAGAAATACATATTATGCTACTTAAAGGGTTTGTAAAATAGTATTTTCGTGCGGATATACTGTTTTTCAAAAAAATAAAAAAACTTAGTATAGCCGTGCGGCTGTACTATTTTTATACATAAGAAAAAGAGGACCCAGTCATTAGGCGCCACGCATGAAGACAATTCTGCTTTTTTTAAAAAATTAAAAACACAGAGTACAGCCGATCGACTGTACTGATTTTGTTTTAAATTTTTTTAAAAAGGACCCTCCAGCGATTAGACGCCACGTGTCACTATACTATTTTTGAAAAAAAAATTGTAGTATAGCCGCACAGCTATAATATTCTAAAATGTCTATATAGACTATTTAATATATAAATTTTTCTTTTAAAAAAACAAGACCCTCCAAGTTTCATTAGTTTGTACTTTATAGATATTAATTTGCTAGTTTCAACATATCCAAAGCAGATATTAATAAGCCACTATATAATATTTTAGTATAATTTTTATAACATGTATTATTCTTATTCAATAATATGTGAGAATTATTTGTATAATACGTGAACTTTGTGTGTCTTACTGAAAATTTTGTAAAAAATATGTGTATTAAGCATTAGAAATATGTACGTACATGTACAATACGACTACTGTACATTTGCTTTTTAAAAAATAATAGACGTGTATAGAATACAAATTTATTATTGAAAAATACGTACGTACATATATATATTTATCTATATATAAAAGACTATAGCCGTTCTTGGGCTCTGGGGAAGTTTAATTAAGACACCCAAATGAAAATAAGTAATTTTTTTTTTTTTTTGCACAGAAGAATTTAAATTAAAAAGGATAAGATATTAATTAAATTAAAGAAGTTGGCTAAAAACAAAAGTAAAGAAACAAATTTTATATATTTTTTTTAAACAATTGAAAAAAAATAACATAAACACTTCTCCTGACGAAATTTTGTCGGCATAGGTCTATGCCGGCAAATATTTGTCGGATTAGGTTTCTCCCGACAAAAGAACCTTTGCTGACGACATTTCGTTGGGAGAGGTCATTTCAAAAAAATAATAAATATAAACTTAGGAAGTTTAGGTTAATTAATTTTTTAAAATTTTATTTGTGGTAATTAAATAATATATTTGACTGATTTAATTAGTTAAATTAGTAATTATATTTTAATTATTATTTATTTGGTGAATAATTAGTATTAAATATTTTAATTAACTTCATGAATTATATTTCTTAATAAATAGTAATTCAATTGTTCTTTTTTTCCTTTAATATTCACTAAGTAAATAACTGAAACATAATTACTAATCAAAGAATTAAAAAAGAGAAATACATATTATGCTACTTAAAGGGTTTGTAAAATCGTATAGCTGTGCGGCTATACTGTTTTTCAAAAAATTAAAAAACTTAGTATGGCCGGACGGCTGTACTATTTTTATACATAAGAAAAAGAGGACCCCAGTCATTAGGCGCCATGTGTCAAGACAATTCTGCTTTTTAAACAGAATTAAAAACACAGAGTATAGCCGAGCAGCTGTACTGAATTTTTTTTAAATTTTTTAAAAAGGACCCTCCAGCGATTAGACGCCACGTGTCACTATACTATTTTTGAAAAAAAAAATCGTAGTATAGCCGCACAGCTATAATATTCTAAAATGTCTATCTAGACTATTTAATATATAAATTAAAAAAAGTAAAGAGGACCCTCCAAGTTTCATTAGATTGTACTTTATAGATATTAATTTGCTTGTTTCAACATATCCAAAGTAGATATAAATAATCCACTATATAATATTTTTATTATTCGTATTCAATAATATGTGAGAATTATTTGTATAATTCGTGAACTTTGTGTGAATTACTGAAAATTTTGTAAAAAATACGTGTATTAAGCATTAGAAATACATATGTACATGTACAATATGACTATTGTACGTTTGCTTTTTAAAAAACAATAGACGTGTATAGAATACGAATGTATTATTGGGTATTTTTTTTTTTTTTGTTTTTGCACCAAAGAAGGATAAGATATTAATTAAATTAAAGAAGTTGGCGAAAAAACAAAAGTAAAAAAACTAATTTTATATATATTTTTAAAAAAATAGAAAAAAAATAACATAAACACTCCTCCCAACGAAATTTTTTATATATAAAAAAAGAGGACCCCAGTCATTAGGCACCACGTGTCAAGACAATTCTACTTTTAAAATAAAAAAATAAAAACAGAGTATAGCCGGGCGGCTGTACTATATATATATATTTTTTAAATGAGGACCCTCCAGCGATTAGATGCCACGTGTCACTATACTATTTTTGGAAAAAAAATCGTAGTATAGCCGCCCGGCTATACTGTTCTAAAAGGTCTATCTATGCTATTTAATATATAAATAAAAAAAAGAAAAGAGTCAAGTTTCATTTGTTTGTACTTTATAGACATTAATTTGCTAGTTTCAACATATCCAAAGTAGATATTAATCAGCCACTATATAATATTTTAGTATAATTTTTATAACATTATTCTTATTCAATAATATGTGAGAATTATTTGTATAATACGTGAACTTTGTGTGTCTTACTGAAAATTTTGTAAAAAATATGTGTATTAAGCATTAGAAATACGTATGTACATGTACAATACAACTATTGTACGTTTGCTTTTTAAAAAAAAGTAGACGTGTATTGAATACGAATGTATTATTGAAAAATATGTACGTACATATATATATATATATATATATAATTGTCATCGACGAGTTTTCATAATTTGAAGTCGTTGCATAACAACCTCGTCATCTATACTATTAAAAATGTCTTTCTCAATATATGCAACAAAGCAATCGTTCATCCACAAATCCCCCATTCGATTGCATAACCGATTCTTCACAATATTCATATAGCAGAAAATACTCACTCTACACTTGCAGTCCCAACAAGTAGGATTAGTGCTAGCGTCAGAAGCAAGTACACTAAAGGATAGATATATCTTTATTTGCCTCAACCATCTTTTGCGCAAGATCAGTAATCCCTTTCAATTCTGTAAATTCACTGTTAGAGCTCACGTCCCAAATGTAATTCTCAAGTTATGCTTCGAGTAATTTGAGGTCATGCTCAGAAAAATCACTTGGATAAAATTGGGCAAGTCGCATCAACTTTGCTTTATCAAAAGCAGAGAGTGAATTACTTGGACTCAAGCATGCCATACAAAGAAGTAATCCAGTATTCTTTTCATTGAACCGATCATTTAACTCTTGGAGCTGAATATCAATGACATCAACGAATAAATCAACACGATAATGATGTAAGTTTGTGATAGGCTCAGCTTTTCGTTTTGGTCTCCCTCCACTGGAAAAAATATCATCCATTTTAAGAATTTCAATATTATACTTGCCACAAAAGAAAGAAACTTGATCAAGTAAAGAATCCCAACCATTATCTCTCATACTTTGCAATCTTCCTTTACAATATCTTGATCTTTCTTTTGTAATGCCTGAGACAAGTCGTTTGTGATTCCCAAAATTCTTTTCATCAAGTGTAGACCAAAAATGAAGCTGAATGATTGCATAAAAGTTAATAGAACCTTTGCTTCAAATTTTTGTTCATAATCTGATCCATCTGTTCTTACAATCTTAAGCACATCTATCACAGATGGGAACATGTTTTCCAAACTGATTAAACAATTATAATGAGAGCTCCATCGTGTATCACTAGACTGCTTAAGATTAGTTTCTTGATTCAGAGCTTGCCCATTTAAGAGCTCATTATTATTGAGTGCTTCAAAAATTGCATCAGCATGCTTTTCTCTCAGCATATCACGGCACTTAGCGAATGCACCCACAACATTCACCACATTAGAAACCATAGTAAATAAACCTGCAATTTCTGAATGTTTCTTTGCCACAACTACTAGAGCTAGTTGAAGTTGATGAGCAAAACAATGAACATAAAAAGCAGAGTCATTCTCATTTAGAATGAGTGTTTTAAGACCACTAAACTCACCTATCATATTACTTGCGCCATCATAACCTTGCCCTCGCAATCTAGAGATGCTTAATCCATGTCTCGAAAAGAAATCGTCAACGGCTAACTTGAGTGAGGAAGATTTAGTATCTGTAACATGCACAATACCTACAAAATGTTCAATTACCTGACCTTTATCCATATAATGTAGCACAATTGCCATCTGCTCATTTGAAGACATGTCACATGATTCATCAACAAGAATGGCAAATAACGAATCACCAATATCCATGATGATTGCATTGATAATTTCAGTTGAAATAGCACATGAAATGTCCTTATGGATATCAGGTGATGTCAACTTCATATTTTCAAGAGCATTTTTTAGCGTGACAACTTTTATATTGTCATTGAAACGACATAGCCATCATAAAAATGCAAGAAAATTCCCTTGATTTGTTGAATTTTCATATTCATCATGCCCACGAAATGGAAGCCCTTGTTGTAAAAGTATCCTGCTAACACCAACTGATGCACCTAAACGAGATAATCAATTCGATCTTGGTTTGAGTGTTTTGAGAAAATTGTTTCAATATGCTGCTTTTGGTTTAATAAGACCTCACAACTTCTCCAAGCTTTATTATGGGCACTATTCGATCCTCCAACATGAATTTGTAGTCTATCTTTTTTCTTCCAATTTGAAAATCCAACACCAACAAAAGATTCACCACCAGATTGCTCTCCAATATCAGGTTTAAAGAGATAACAACATAGACAAAAGGCAACATCTTTTTCTATGCTATACTCTAACCGAGTAGGAAACTCACTAAACCAACTAGGATTAAATTGTCTTTGTTTTGCTCCAAAATTTTTGTAAGGAAAATTATGCCCTCGAGGTTGACAAGGACCTTTTTGGAGATAAGCTCTTCGAACTTGGTCTCGAACATTTGGATGGTAACTCAATATTTGATTACGTAATCCGGGATCAGCTGGCAAATTTTCCAAGTTAACTTCCGTAGTTTGGTTTGAACTACTTTCATTTTTCTTTTGACTTTTTGCAGGTGACGACTCCACTAACTCAGACTTTGATTTTCTTTTGAAAAATCTTTCCATAACTGAAACACATATATGAACTAAATTTAAATTGAAACAATTATGAACATCTTCTCAAACTTATAAACCGAAGCAAATTGAGCATTAAATTCAAAGCAATATATTAATCAAAACAATAGAAAATCATATATATAGAATTTTATAAATTAAAATTAAAATTTCACCAACACAAGTTCACAATTGCATAAATAATTACATACTACGCAAGAAAAATTACAAGGGACAGACAAATACATACTTGGAGTTCAATAGCGATTTACCAAATATCTCCAAAGCCTTTTCCCTTTGGTAATCTACACATAAATTGAAAGACCCATTAAAATTAATAGAAATTAAAAAAAAAACTTGATAATATAATTAGAATGTGAGAAGAAAAAAAACTCACAATCAATTGGCTGATCTGGTCGTGTTTCTGACCCAAGAAAAGAGAAAAAGGCTTAAGTTTATTGATTTATACAAGAAGTGTGAAATATCGTATTTAAAAAAAAAAAAAATATATATATATATATATATATATATTAATTAAATACTTTTTTCTTTAGTTTATAATATTGAAAGCAAGAGGTGGCATTAGCACATGCAAATTTTCTAAATGACTTACAAGTGGCTACCATTAATATTAGAGTATGAAAGATATTTTGTTCTTTTTACATGCATATCTTTTCTTACCGTCATGGTTTGAAGAAGTTATTCAAAACTTGGATAACAAGTTGTTACCAGCCAATAGGTGAACATTGGATTGTCGCCTCTCTTGTTGTTTAAATAGGAAACCTTCCACATTAAAAACTTGGATAGACATACATGCGAAGAGAAAAAGAAACAAGAGAGAAAAACGTAGAGGGAGAGAGAATAGTGAGGAAATTCTTGGAGGAGAAAGGTAGATGGGTTGTCTTGTCAATTTATTTTAAGGGTTCTTATTATCGAGGTGAGTGGTTTATGCAATGTGTTCTAAAAGTTTTTATTTTGTGATAAAATATGAAAACCATGAATTATCGTGGATTTATTCTATTTACAAATATCTCTCTATTTGAAGTCAAGCATGTCTAATTTGGTGAGATCTTTCACATTATATATATATATATAATGGTAAGCTTTCGAGCAACGAACGGCAGGTAGCGGTGAAACCACTTACCAGAATAGGATTGCCCAGTTCAATCTTGCTTTGTGTAAGAGATGGAAGACATAGAAAGTTCACGGATTCCTTGTTAGGAATAGTTGAGTCAACCTTAGGGGAAGGTCCGATATACTTTAACTGTTTCCCAAACTTTTCTGTTGCACTTTCCGACGTAAATGTCTTAAAAGCTTTAACATTGAATATTCAAACTCAGGGTTATGATATGGACCCAGGATCCCAAAATCTAGCGATCATTTATAGGGTTTCATATAAGGTTATGAACACTGTCTGTCCCAAAGCTAAAGATTTAGACAGCAAAGGTGAAACTACCTTGTTCCAAACCAACCTTGAAAAATCAAACGTAGCAGTCCCAAAAATGATAAAGTGGAGTGATATAACCCTACCAGAAAAGTGGATTTTGGATGAAATAGTCCCAAAGAAGCCCCTTGAAAATCAAGAACCTACTCGGATCTCCCAATTCGCTGATGGAGAGGTAGAAATACAATTCTCCAACGCTAGAAAAACTAGGATTGATCTAGCGCCCTTTGGATCTAACCTAGAACCACATAGGTCGAGTACCTCTAGGATTGATCTAGCACCCTCTAGATCCAACCTAGAACCCCATAGGTCGAGCACCTCCTCTGATATAGCTTACGATCTAGACCATGACAGAATGATCTTGGCAGGTCTTAGGAGAACCCAGGAACAGACACAAAGGCCAGCCTACAGGTTTGAGCAAACCCTTCCAAACCCAGGAATTAGGATGAATCCACCTCAACCCGAGCCTTCCTTCTCGGATGTAGAATTTGAAATAAATATGTTAAAATCCTTCGAAATAGAACACGAAAAGATAAAAAGAAATTATCTGAGTATTGAAAATATTAATAAAAGAATCTGGTTTGAAACAGCCTTTCAGGAGCATAGGCAAAATCATCTCTGGAAAGCCCATACCGCCTTTATGAAAGAAAAGAAATTCAATTGTTTCTTTTTTACGTGGTTAGATTGGTGTGCTCAGAAATATGACATTCCTGAATATAGGAGCCATATAGAGATGATAGGAAGCCCATTCTCGACTTACACTTCCAAAGATGGGAAATCAGTAAAAGCCGTACATCCACCCGAGATGGTAATTAAACAGAAAGATATGATAGCGGCTCCCTACAAAGAAACCACTTTCCTTGATGATAGCGCCAATAATTCTCGCACAGCTAGTAAAGAGGATATAGGCGCAGTTATTCAGCAGAATAATTACACCAACCCGTTTCTGCAGTCTCTAGGAAAGCAAGTCACTAGGATTGAAACGTCTGTTTCGGTAAAGGAGCAGAAATCCGACCCCGGTCCCTCAGAAACTAAAACGATCAAGGAAATGAGTAGTCAAGTGTTCTTCAAACCACCTCCCTCTTTGGATAATAAAAACTTTAAGATGGGAAGAACATTGTCAGAAGATGAAAATTTTGTTGACATCCT